TTCTGTCTTTCTTCCCTCCAAGATCTAAAAAAAAGTTCATATTTAGTGGATAATCAAGAACAGAACCAGAAAATCGTTATTTTCACAGAAGCCAAGTTGTACATTGTATGCAGAAGATGGAGGAGGCTTATATAACTTTAACTGATTAGATATATCCCAGAATCCTACTAGGTAGATAGGTAATATTTAAAGAAACAAAATTTTACACCCTGAATTGTGATGATTCCGGATGTAGGATCTCCCACAGTTGTGTCCCTGTGTTCTCTCTAGGTCCTGGGCTGTGCTGTAGAAGGAACATTAGAAATACCATAATTCTTGGCCTGGAAGAGTGACAGTTTAGTGGGAAAGAGAGTTGTGGAGCAGATAAAGGGATGTGCAGTGTCAGAGAAGAGATCACTTGTGGGAACACTGTTAAAAACGTAGATTTAAGGAAGCTCATCCTGCTTGCCCCCGGGGCTTTGGTGGTCAAGAGGCTCAGCATGTTGTAGAAGTGACATTTGAATCAGGTCTTGAGGAAAAGTTTTTCCGGCCCTGGAATGGCAAGAATGATGGTAGTAAGTGGAGAAACAGCATCTTCAAATAAATAGCACCATGCATTTGATGGGGTGTGAGAGGACACCAAGATTCTTACCTCAAGTGAACCAGAAGAGAAGTATAAGGAAGTGAGGGCGGAGTGAACTATAATGCGTTTAGTTTGGAGCTTGCTGTATTTGAGGTCTGTGCAGTTATTCCAGATGACAATACCCGGTCAGTGGTAGCTATGGAACACAAGTTGGGAGCTTTCAATAGAGGTAGTGAGTAGAGCTACAGATCTTGGAGTTACTGATGAATGATGGAAAGTTAAACTGCTGGAGGTGGCTGGGATCACCCAGCAGGTCATTTGATTCAAGAGAAACAAGTCATGTAAGATGGCACCCTGGAAACTACCTAGCCATCCTATGGTACAGCTAATGCTATGGCTCAAACATGTTGGCATGGCTTGACCCAAGACCCTAGCCACTATTTATAAAATTTTCTAAATAAAAGTGTGGAGTAAGTTCAGAAAACTTAACATTTGGGGTCACAAGCTGTAAGTTGGGGCTTAAATATACCTTTTAGTTATTTTTACTCTGTAGGTCCAGCACACCAAAACTTGGAGGCAATTCCTGGCTTAGCCTGTCCACATATTTTGCACTATAATTGCAGTTAAGTATATCTTCAGTCATATTTGTTTGCTTTGTAATCCAAGTATATTAACATACAACTTGTGTAATTAATTTTTAATTTTTTTATTTTTTTGACGGAACCAGGGATTGAACTCAGGCCCTTGGGCTTACCAGGGAAGCGATTATTCTACTGAGCCATCTCCCTGGCCCCTCACCTTGTGCAATTAAAATAAACAAACAAATGTTGATTCATTCAGACACACCAGTCCAATGTCTGCTCACATTGTTGATGGCACTCTCTTCCTTTGGGCCATTAAGATTGGTGCTAGAAAGGAATTGGGGGCTGGGGAGATTAGCTCAGTGGTCTCAGTGACTGCCTGGCAAATGCAAGGACTCAAATTCTATCCCTGGCACCATGTGCCATGCCAATCCTGCCCCAGGCGCACGCCTGTAGTCCCAGCACCAGAGAGGCTGAGACAGAAGGATCACTAGGAATTTAAGCTGCATAGTGAGACCCTTACCAAATAAATAAATGAACAAAAGATTTTTTTAAAAGAAAATAAAAGAATTGGGAGTATGGTGAGCTTTTTAATTCAAATAAGACCTTTATATAAAACAATATCGATATAGGCATTTTTTTTGTGGTGTCAGAAAAATTGATATAATGAGGTTATTGAAAGCATCTTTTTCTATAATTCTGTCTCATTTTAACTAAAATACTTATGGAATGATTTTCTATTTGTCTCTCTTTTTCTCTTCAAAATCATCTAAGAAGTCAGGTATGGTGGTGCATGCCTATAATCCTAGCACACAGGAGGCTGAGTAGGAGGATTGTTACAAGTTTTGGGTCATCCCAGGCTACAGAGTGAGACTGTCACAAAAGAAAACATCTATCTGAATGAACACCAAACTCTCTGCACTTTGGTGTGTTTAATATGTCTATTATTAGATATGTAGAAATCTAATTAGTATTTCATGCACACTGACTACACACAGTGTCCTTGATTTTATTCAGAATGTATAAAAAGAGTTGGTTCATTTTGCAGCAGCAGCTTGTGTCTTCCTGTAATTGCTCAGTGATGATAATGTACAGCCTTTGAGAAAAGAATTTCTAGTAACCTAGCCTTAGCGTGGCATAAAGTGGAGGCTATTCTTGCTTCATTGAAGAGTGGGTTGCCTTAGAAGTGCAGAATAAGCTGGGACATCCGTGCTGGGCGTGGGATTCAGGCAGCGTAGCATGAATGTAGTGAATTCCTAGTGCAGAGGGAAGGAAGTGATGCTGGATTTCATGCCTCCCTTGGACAGCCTCGGTACTCCTCCCTCTTTAGAGACACTAGTTCAGTATTCAGCTTCCAGCACCAGAGTTTGTCTGTGGGCCACCTTCTGCCTCTTGTGTTTATTTTGAGTGCCTGCTGGAAGGCCAGAAGACCAAGAGAATTAATGTGTTCTAGGAGAAGCTTTCAACAGATGCCTAATGGGAGTCCATGTGTAGATGTCCCAGCTTGCACACCCATCTGCTTGGAGAATTGATGTTCACACTTGATACTGTTGGAGTGAAGTGAGGTGACACTGCAGTCAGCCACAGTGACACCTAGCTGGACAACATTCTCTTCATTGGCTACTTTCCCTTCATTTTCTCACTTCTTCACTCCCTTGTTGGTGTTTGACTTCACTTCCTAAATAAACCTGTGCACTAGACTCTGTCCTGGGATATACTTCAAAGAAAAGATGAAAATCAAAGACTCTTTGATTCTTACCTCCTCTTTCAAAGACCGAGTTTCAGGCACTGAGCACAAATGTTCTATCTTCAGGGTAAGCAGGATGAGTACAGAAAGTGAAGTCATTAGTTAGGTAACTCAGATTAATTAAACATCTATACAGAGCACCAAGCAGGGCGCTTGGAAGAGATTGTTGAGAAAGGTGCTGCCAACCTTTGGCCTTTGAGTATGATGCTTACTGGGACTCTTTGTGTGCTTTTTCTTGAGACTGAGAAAAATTCTAATGATTAACACTGTGCTTTCTAAATTGTCATCCTGTTCTAGCCTTGCCCTAACAAGATGGTACCAAGTCATCTTAATAGAACAAGCCTCCTCAAACTCTTTTTTTTTTTAAACTGTTCATTTTATTTTATTTATTTTATTTTATTTTATTTTATTTTATTTTATTTTTTTGCGGAACCGGGGATTGAACTCAGGCCCTTGTGCTTGCCAGGGAAGCGCTTATTCCCTTGAGCCATCTCCCCGGCTCTCCTCAAACTCTTAAGTTGCAGATTTATAGGCAGTCTCTGGCTGTAGCCAAATACCTTTTATTTCATTTTCTTTCTTCTGGGGTTGGCCACATAATCCGCTACTCTAATTGCACAATCCTATGGGAACTGCCTAGTCCATCAGCAGAACTGAGGACCATCTACTCACCATCTTCTCCAAACATGGTGGCTTGAAGAGTGAGTATGATGTCGAGAAGTGGAGATAAGCGTGGATTTCTTGGAACTTGCAAATAAAATAAGAGAGAATGGCTAAATGCTGTAGGAGGGATTGAGATCAAAAGATCCTTTTAAGTTTTTGTGTTTGATGTTAACCAAGCTAGATTTCACAATCATCTTTGATTCTGCCCCCAAACCTCTGACACCCTTGCTCTTCCTCCTGCCAGTACCTTGACTCAACACCCTTCAATTCTCTCCTGTGAAATCCCCTCAACACCCTTCAATCCTGTTTCAAGCCACAATCTCTCTATTGTCCACTCATATTATTCCTAAAATGCAAGCCTAATCATATCAATCTCTTCCCAGTGCCCTTCCATGCATTCCTGCTGCCCCTGGGAAATAGTTCAAACTGTTGACATGACCCTGAGGCTGTCATTTCTGGTCTCTGAATCCCTCTCCTGCTCTCTCTCCACTCATCTCCTTGCATAACAACCTGCTATGTGCATGTCTGAAGAGAGTATGATTCTCTGCCAATGGAGTCCTCCATATTACTCCCCCTCCCCCTCCTCCTTCCCCTCTTCCTCCTTTTCCTCCTCTTCCTCACCTGTCTCCTGCTGTCTGTCAAGTCTCAGTTGAGTATCACTCTGATAGCACTTCCCTGTATTATTTTACTACGGTGGCTCTTATTAGCCTACTTTCTAATTGTTCATCAACAAGAGTGTTGGACCTTTTTACTTGGAGTTCACAGAGATTATAGAAGCTGACGCCTAATGCTTCTAGAAATGTCCCAAACTGAGAGGTGTCTGAGCTTCCACTTGAGGCTGAGAAAAAGAGGACTTGGGTGGGGTAGGGTGCTGTTCTTTAGGGTGTGGGTGGGACAAAGATGCAAGGTTCTTCCTGGGACCAAGAGGACCCTGTGGAAAGAACCTGGGCTGTGTTGGGGTGTCAGCCCAAAGGCCATGCTCAGCAAGGAGAGATGAAAGCCTAGAGTCTGTGCCAGAGACCTTAGAATGGAGAGTTAAAGGTATAGCTGCAAGTAGTTGACAAATTATTGCATCTCTTGTTCTAGACAGAGAAAAGAGAACTGCATAAGGGTCTCTAAAAACCTCACATACAGGAAAAGGAGAGCAGTAAGCCACTGCCAGGACTTGCCCAAAATCTCATAGCTACAAAGTGGGTTCAGACCCTGAATCCAGAACACAAAGTCATAAGGCCAAGGGCAGGGCAGGTGCGTGGCAAGGGAAGGGTTACAGAGAGACTTCACGGCAGGAACAAGGTGTCCTGAAGGAGCAGGTGGGGTCTGGCTGCTGCAAGCAGCATGGCTCTTGACACCCTTTACCTGCACAACTTCCCACTCCTCTTAGTCGAAAACTCACGGTTCCCCCAGGGGGCACCCAGCTAATCTCTTACCCTCTGATTCTTCAACCCACCAGGAGAACTGTTCGAAAGACTTCCCTTGCAAAACAAATCTCCCCGCGTTGCGCTCCCGGCTGTCAAAGAGTCAGCTCGCAGGTCTCATTTCATTGAGTGCCTTGTGCGCGGCTCTGCCAGGATGCCTGCGTCCGCTTTAGCGCGGAGACTGCGCCAGGGTTACGGACAAAGTGGAAACAAACAGACCTGAACCTTGTGCCTGGCGCAGCAGACTCAGCCCGACCCAACCCGCCTCCGGGGTGCTTCTGCCCACCCACCCGAGGTTCGTAGCAGAAGCCGTGAGGGCGGCACCGCCGGAGTGCGAGCTGTCGCCCCCGTGCGCCGAGCCGGCTCCAGCCCCAGCTCCGCGCCGCCGGATGGGCAGAGGCCGGCGGCGGCGCCAGGGGGAGCAGAGACCCAAAGTGCGGAAAGAGGCCGACTCGGCCCGGAGCTCGCCACGATGCTCCCGCCCTGCCTGCTGCTGCTGCTCCTGCACTCCGCGCTGGCCGCCGAGCGCCCCGGGGGCCGGGCCGACGCGCACAGCCTGGGGGCGGCCCTGGCGACCCCCAACGCCTCGCGCTTCTTCTGGGGCAACTCCACCTTCTCCGACTGGCAGAACTTCGTCGGCCAACGGCGCTCGGGGGTGGAGTCCCAGAAGCCCACGGCCAAAGCCCTGCTCGTGGTGGCTTACTCTTTCATCATGGTCTTCTCGCTCTTCGGTAACGTCCTGGTCTGTCATGTCATCTTCAAGAACCAGCGAATGCACTCGGCCACCAGCCTCTTCATTGCCAATCTGGCTGTGGCGGACATCATGATCACCCTGCTCAACACCCCCTTCACCCTGGTAAGGGTTCGGCTGCGACCTCCAGCACACCCCCACACCCCTCCCGATTTTGTCCCCACCCGTCCCCCATCCCTGCTCCTCTTCCCCATCTCTGTTGTCTCTGCCAAACTTCCTGTCTCTTTTCCTTGTTGTCACTTTCTCTTAATTTCTCCTTTCTCACGTCTAGTTGTTCTTGTTTCTTTCTTGCCTCCTCCCTTCACCTCTTCTTCCCTTTTTTTTCTGTAGTCCCCCTTCCCTCCCCCACCCCCTCCTCCCATCTCTCATTCTCTCCCTCTCTCTCCTTTATCTTTCCTTACCCACCTTACTGTCTAAGCCAGAGCTCCTGCAGCTCCGGCACTGAGTCAGTGATGGGAGCATCAGTAGCCCCCTATGGAGGACTGGCCAACTGCTGTTCAGTCTCACTGGAATAGGCTTTTTCAATAACTGAACAGTAGCTCTGAAATGTTAGCAGAGTTTATTAGGACACGGACCCTCACTGAAGTGCAGCCTGTGGAACTCCTTTCCCCACCCATACATGCCACTTTGTGTTACAACTGAAACAGCAAACAATTGCCAGTCGGTAGGGGAGCCTAAGTGCCCTTTCCCAGACTGCTTGTCTAAGATGCCTTTCTCCTCTGTGGCTTGACAGTGAGGCTATGTGTGAGGTCCATGCTGGAGAGAAGAGAATGAGGTGGACCTGGGCAGCAGGGGGCAGGTCTGGACGGTGCATGCGGCAGCGGTGCGTGGCTTCCTCCCCAGGGGCTGGCTGCCCAGGACTGCTGCCATTTCTGTGCCTCTGTGATAGAGTGTACTTCTCGTGGATGAATTGGAGCTGTGAGGATGGTGACAGCAATCATAATGCAGCTGTGCAGCGTGTTTCTATAGCCTGAGCTGCATTTTTCAGTTTATTCAATATCTTTATTTTCTTTTACTACAAAAACAGATTCTGTTTATCTCCCTCTTGTTTCTGCATCTTTCTTTCTCCCCCAACACAGAAAGAGAGAGAGAGACAGAGAGACAGAGACAGAGAGAGACAGAGATAGAGAGAGAGATAGAGAGAGAGAAAGACAGAGAGAGAGAAAGACAGAGAGAGAGAGAGAGAGAGAGAGAGAGAGAGAGAGAGAGAGAGAGTCCATCTACCTGCCTGTGTGGCTGTCCTTCCAAAGCATCTTATATTCTTTTTCTATTCTCTCTTATGAGAACATTAATCACATTCTGCAGAAAAGGAAACTAAGACATAGAGAGACTTCCTGACTAGTAATAGGTGCAGCTAGGAAAAGAAGTGCATCCCCTAACTCAGATCCAGAGGTCTGTCCAAGAGACACCCATGGGAGTGGGAGGCTTTCTAGCCCATGTTCAGCTTCCGTTGCTGTAGATCGTGGATTTCTCCTGTTCTCCTTCCAGCCTACTGATGGCCGCTCTGAATTGTCTGGGCACTAACCAAAGACAAAGGGGCTTCCAAATCATATCTGCTCTGCTCCCTTGATACACAAGAAAGCAGATCCCTGGCTGCCCTTGACTGTCCTTGGTGCCTTCTTTGATTTCTGACCTGAGAATGTACATACAGCACTGGACTGTAGCTGAGCCACCTAGAATGGGAACCAGAAGGCCCCTAGGCATGGCCTTGGTGCTTCTTCCCAGAGCCAGGCTGCAGGGATGGACCAGCCTCAGACACAAGAGGGTAGAAGAGGCCACAGATTGGGTCTCAGCTGGCTATAATTTTGAGTTGAAAACCCTGCCCCAGCACATCCTCCTCTACCCTCCAGTATGAGCCCAAGAAGCTTTGCTTTGAACCAGACCCATGGAACTGCACAGTCCAGACTCTTCTTAGAGTTTACAAAGTTCTGGCCATGAGGAAGAGGGAGGGGTAGGGATAGTTTTCTAACCCCTCAGCCTGCTCAGCACAGGCTCTGAAGTGGGTAATTTATAGGACTTTCCCTCCCTGGTCTCCCTTCCCAGCTACTTCACACCCTGCAGTCAGCATGTAGCCCAGCTCTAATCATTGAAAGAACAATAAACAAGAGACATAGAGCACAGTAGAACCTGGAGGAGGAAAGCTTTCATTTTGACACTCCAGGGGCCCGTGAGAGAGTCAAAGGAGACTTTGCAAAGACCCTGACATTTCAGTGGGCCTGAATGAATAGTAACTTCCCAGGTTGAGATGAATGCTCAGCATAGCCAAGGGGCTGCAGTAACCAAAGACAAGGAGGCCTCTAAGTTCATGATGTGCTAGACGAGCACTGAGTGGCTCACTTTGGCTGAAGCAGAGACAGAGGCACAGAGCAGAGGTGGGCAGGAGAAGGCGGGCTACCCGGGGAGGCCAGGGCCAGGTTGGCATGGCCTGCGTGCTGCGGAGGCTCTGCCTGTGTCCGGAGAGCAAGATGATGTTCAGAAAGAAACTGGAACCAACCTGATTTTTTGGTTAAGAAACACACTGCCAGCAGTGCGCAGGCTGGATTACAAGGGATCAAGCCTGGAGAACAGGGAAAGCTGCTAGGCCTTGAGACTGAAGAAGAGGGAGTGGGTTTGAAATCTGAGATTTGGATTTGGTCACTATGTGAGGAGAAGCAGCTGCGGCTCTTGAATGTTGCAGAACTGTTCAAAAGCCTTAAATGGCTCCTCACTGAGTCCCCCACCCCCACCCCAAGGAAGTAGAACCTGCGATCTGATGTCATCAGTTCATGATCCTGGCCAGACCTGTCCCCACTCTCATGCACACACCACAGCCAAATCAACCCACTCTTCATTCCCCAAACAGAACTTGGGTTTCAAGGTCCAGCACCAATAACTTTTGTTGGAAGGTCCACATGTACAAATCCTTCCCCATCTCAAATGTACTCTGTATTGTCACAGTGGCAGTTTACAGGGCCACGTCTTTTATATGTACTCTGTCATGTTTGATTTTCATGAGAACCCTGTAAGAAGGTAGCCCTCTTTTACAGATGAGGATAGTGAGGCTCAGAGGGCTCGTGTGCCCTGCCCAAGGTGGCAGTGTGAGGGGCAAAAACTTGGCTGCAAATCCCTACACCATACTGCTCCTGTTGGGATGGCTTTCCCTGTTTCTACCTCTGTCATCACTCTCTGCCCTCCCCAGCCACTGACTCACTGTCCTCTCTCTGGGCGTCTGTAGAGCATTGCCTACTTTCATCTTTCAGTAAAGTTGTCTGCGAGCCTCTCAGTCTGGGTTGGAGGTCCTTGATCAGAATCAGAGGGGGGGAGGTTGTGGAACCAGGGATTGAACTCAGGCCCTCATGCTTGCCAGGCAAGCGCTTATTCTACTGAGCCATCTCCCTGGCCCTTGAGAATCAGGTTTGATCTCTCCTGGGCATGTGAAGGTACTCACAGGAGCTGCTCAAATACTAAGTGGATGAGCAAAAGCCCAGGATGATACGAACAAGGACTAAATGGCCCTCAGCCCAGTTGTCCCCATTCTAACCTACACCTCTCGTCTTACTTTTCACTCCTTGCTGAGACAAAATACCCAGCACTCACAAGGTAAGGGAGGAAAGGTTTGTTTACCTCACAGTTTGTAGAGGTTTCAGTCCATCATCAGCTGGCTCTATGGCAGGGTAGCTCTTGGCAGAGGAGCAGTGGCGTTCATAGTGGCAAAGACAGCAAAAGCAACAAGGGTGGAGAGAGAGAGAGAGAGAGAGAGAGAGAGAGAGAGAGAGAGAGAGAG